TGTGGAGAGCGGTACAAGTCCATGGTGTGCGTCGGCCGGTGGTGCCTCCAGTGCAAGGCGTGCTCCATGGCAGCCATAGTAGATGTGCACGGACCCGATCAAGCCACTGCCTCTATCAAAAGCCCGAGCTCATCCCCTCCCCTCACTGCGTGGTGATGGGCGGAGGTTGAAGGTGATCTGACTTGTGGGGTTCGTGTGTCAGCGATGGGGGAGAGGGAGGAGAATAGAGAAGCCAGAGGCATAGGCGGTCATTTTACCTAAGGCTGCTGACTCGATCTAAGCTGGACTACGGTGCTGGCATGCCACACGAGCAAAAGTGACAAATATATATCGATTTTCTCTCACTACTACTAAAATCATATCATCAATTCTAAGAATGCTAATCGAGGAGTCTCCGTTTGATAGGATGGTAAAAAGTTAAATATGCCAGTGGAATCTGTCCGTCCGCGCCGGCGACGCCTCCGTGCCAGCGCGATTGCGTGGTGGCCTGGTGGGACTTGGGAGGGGGGACGGGCACATAGCGATTGGACTGGGCCTCATCCTCATGGACTGTTGGGTCGCTGGTGGCCTGCTGCCTTTCGCTCAGCTCGTTTAGAGAGTTTTTTTTTTGGGTGACTGCTCGTTTAGAGAGTTCCATAGCATTTGCATTAGGAAAAAAAAATCTTTACTTCTGAATTATCAACAAAATTAATTACCTTTCTTACCCAAATAAAAGTGGTTTACAAGTCTGTTTTGTTATTATTTTGTTTAAAATTTGATAAACACCTGATAAGGTTTTGAAACCATGAAAAATGTCTCTAAGCTTATAAGTTATCATGATAAAAAACATAGAGATGTATTGGGACACAAGAAGCCCAAATAAATTATCTAGAGACCATGAAGTATCTCTATAAGTTTCCAAAAATTATATTTAGCCCTAGGGAAATGGGAAAATATTATTGGAAAAATAAAGAATTCAAACGGTTATAATCCATGTCTAAATGCATTTTAAAAACTTTCCACAACAAAAATGCAAGATGCAACTAGCATGCAATGCAAACATACATCAGTGTTGAATACATCCATATTGGTTGCCTCTTATGTTTTTGTTGTCAAAGTTTAAAAGGACATTTAGACGTCAATTAGAATGCTTTGGAATTTTTTTAGTTTTTTTCTAGATATATCTTTCCATTTCTTCTAAAGCTAAATCCATTTTTGGAAACTTATAGAGATATTTTCATGAGTTTAAGTAATTGATCTGAATTTCTGGTTCTCCAATATCTCCATGGTTTTTCTCCAACTTTTTAAAAGCTTAGAGATATTTTTTTTCATGATTTTTAAAAACTTGTCAGGTGTTCACTGGAATTCGTTTAGCCAAAAAAGATAAAACCACCTTGAAAACCATTTCTAACCAATGCAAAGTGTTAACTGAAAGTTGAAACTGTTCTGAGAATTGAGTGAGCAAGATGTTTAGTTTTGGATTTCGAGAAGGAAATCTGAACTCTGGTGATAGTTTGGAGGTGGTAAAAGTGACCTTTTTTTTTCTTCACATTAGAGAAAAAGGATTAAAAAACAGCGGTACAACACCGAATTGTAAAGCAAAAACAGAAAAACTAACAGACAGGGAAAAACACAAACAAACACACCACCAACACACATAAAGAAGAAATTGCAAAACTAAACACGCGTGCTTAGATGCCTTAGAACATAGATAGACGACCTGGAGGGATTAAGGTCACAGAGAACTCCAATCTCTTTGGCTCTTTCCTCTGGCCAAGGCCAACTACCAAAACCTGCTTTCATCTTTGAAATCCGAATACACCAACCGGGTATTTGGAGAAGCACCCTCAAACACGTATTGAAATCCGAAAACACAAACCGTGTATTTGGAGAAGCACCGAATACACCAACCGGGTATTTGGAGAAGCACACTCAAACACGTAGCTATTTCAATGCTTCCACAACCACTATGCCACAAGAATTACCAATGAGTTGAAAACTTTTGTAAGTTCTCTAGGCAAAGTCGATTTTCATTTTGAACTGAATACAAGTTTTTTTCTAGAGATAAAATTTTTCACCCTACCTCATCAGGGACAGGGATACCATTGTGTGGGCATATTAATATTCAGGCTATAAATAGACAATCTGGGCTTAAGTACAACAGAAGGACGCAATCAAAGATTAGAATCCGCTAGTATTTAATAAGGAAAAAAAAGTATATGCCGGCTAAAGATAACTTCCTAAATAGACGATGGCAGGGAGATTTGAATTGTCAATTTTGTGGTACAGCTGAAACAAATAAATTCATCTTTTCAGAAGGATGATACACGGATACATTCATACATGCCATCAGGAACATTCGGAAAAAGTGCACTTGACTGCCCTTATGTACGCATGTGGCACAACTTTGTTAAGATTTCTACTTCTGTTTGAAGGCACAATGAGCATAAGGGGGTGTGTTCATTGTAGGGCTGGGAAAAATATCTTCCTGTGTACAGCAATTTCACTTCCAGTTTCTCATTATCAGCATCTTCTTGTTACTCATATGGAGGAAAGAATAGACGCTACAAACTAAAACTTGTGAAACACACTATTAACCTCTAAACCACCTTAACAAAATCTCAAAATTGACGCCTCGGCTTTGATTCTGCAACCGTGACTCGGATCTGTCTACCATCCAAGTCCTGCATTACGATAAAACATTCAGATTAGCACATCCTCTATGTATAACAATGTACAAGATACATGAAAGGATCAAAATGGCATAGAACTTACGATGCCATCAAGGTTCGATATGGCATTGTTGACCTCCTCGACGGTGCCATAGGTGACGAAACCAAACCCCCTTGATCTGCCACTCTCCCTGTCGTATATGACCTTAGCATCAAGCACCTGCCCTTGCTCACTGAATAGGTTCTCAAGAGTTGAGTTGTCAACGCCCCATGCAAGGTTCCCCACGTAGACCTTGTTCCCTGAATCGACAAAGCTACCACCACCTCCACTACCACCCCTTGGCGCTCTTGGTGTGAATTCATCTCTAGGCGGCGGCGGTCCACAGTTCACCCTCAGTGGTCTTCCTTGAAATGTCTGTTTGCAAGGCAAGGTTAATTAGTCGAGAATCTTATCTGCAATGTGACGCACTATGCACTCAATAGAAGCAATTTAGTCCCAAACAGCTAGCCGGAAACTATGAGCAATGATTAGTTATAAGGTATGATTCTGATTTCAGGTTTTTGAGTATTGCAAACTTTTACGTTCAAAAACAATGTATTGCAATTTGCAAACTTTGGTGCAAACCCTGAATCTGAAAATCCTAAGAACTGGCACAAAACACCAGCATTACAATCTAGTATAGACCACCGTCTTATCAGTACTGCTGCATATTTTCCTTCAATTAAATAGCTGATCATCAGATTCAGAAGCATACCAAGAGACAGTTAGCTTAAAAGAGTGGAAGTATCCTCACATAACCGTTGAATTGCTCGACAGCAGCTCCGGCTTCTTCAGCTGAAGACATTGTCACGAATCCAAATCCACGGCTCCGTCCAGTCATTCTATCATATACAACCTAAAACACAAAGAAATATTGGGGTATTCAAACACAAAAATTTAACAGATGCATGCAGCTATGTGGTTGGAATTGACAATTTGAATACCATGACAGTTCTTGCAACTATTTACTTATTTAGTATTTACTGTAGTACCGAACCAATTTAGACATTTCAGATATTTAAACTGCATGTAAATCTACCTTAATTCGAACCAGCCCAATTGTAACCATACTCATCTAGTGACCATAGCACAGTAGGCAGAAATTTGTCATTTTCAAATACGAGTACAATTTGAATTTCAAGTAAACTCAACTGACGACTAGTAATTACGAAGACGAGGACCGGAAAACTTGTATATACCTCGACCATCTCGACGGAGCCGGCCTGCTCGAAGAGCCCGGCGAGCTGCGCGCTGTCGACGCTGAACGGCAGGTTGCCGACGAACAGCTTGAGGTCTTCGGAGAACTCCTCCGCTCCCTCCTCCTCCTGCTCCGCGCCCTCGGTCTCGTACTCTGACGACACCGCGACGGCCACGGGCTCGAAGACACGCCTCCCCGGCGCTGACACAGCGCGCAGCGGCGGCCTGAAGGGGAGGAAAGCTGAGGCCGCGGGCGCAGCCGGCTTCGGGGAGGATAGGGCGATGAAGCGGGGTGAGAGAGAGGTGGAGAAGAGCGCGGCCGCCATGACGCTCGGGATGAGATGAGGATTTGGTGATAAGGTTCCGGGGCTTGGAGAGCTGGAGGTGAATGGCGATGGCACGAGAGGACTGGGGGAGTGAGGGGCTTAAATACCTCACGCGCGGTATGGGGGAACGGCTTGCGCCTGGCTGTTGGGATATTTGTCAGAATCGAGATATTTTTGTGGTGCTGGGAAAGGGATTATGAACGTGTGGCCCACCGTCAGTGCAAGTAAGACCGGCCGACTATGTTGCTGGTCGAGCTGCTACCGCGTAGCGCAATGCTGCAATGGATGGCTCATGGGTGCCAAGTTTGCAACTTGAAATTTGTCACTAGTATTCTAGTAACCAGTAACTAGGCTAGAAATTTCATGTAGCAAATCATGTGAGATTACCATATCTGAATCGGACCTAAAACACGTGGAAATAACTCAAATAAGTGGGTAAAAATCTCAGAGCGGCAAAATGTTTTTCTCACCCGAACCAAAAATTAAGGGCAGTATCAAAAGAATCCAGGTCATTGTAGAGCAAGGAGTACTACAGTAAGCAGAAAAAGAAAGATACAGATGCTACATGAAGCCAAAGGTCAGAAGTCAGGAGTACGTTACATGGCAAATACACACTGCCCTGCAATTTCTTCCCAGCTTGACAGTTCACCCTTTTGCCATGAAGGAGACAATCATCATTAACCATGCATGCTCACTCAAACATCAGGCCTACCAGCCTCCCTTCCCTTGCCTACAGAATTTGTACAGCTAAGGATATCTGTTGTTGCAAGTGTTGTCTCTGCCACGTCATTCACTCGTCAAGGTGGCAGTATCTTTCAAGCGGTCACGCATTATGTCACCGAGCTTACTGCAAGCATCCATACAGAGCTCTACTGCCTGTTGACAAAGGTAACAAGATGTTAGTACTTGTTAGAGCCTTGATACCATCTCTTCTAACGCAGTAGTAGGACATACATTGGTTATTCTGCCATCACTCCACTCTCCGTTGAGCGTGAGTTGTGTGATCTCCTTGCGGGCTGGCATGAAAGCCACCACAAGGCTTCCATCTTGCCATGCTTCCTCGTCCGAGGTTGGATCGATGATGATGTTCTTTCCAAAACAGGACTGGACAAGGAAGTAAAATCTGGTCATCCCCAAGCTTAACTAACTGATGGTTTAGGTGCGAGTATCATAGAGCAGAGACAACATGGGGCCATACCACGGATACAGATGTAACAAGGTCATACATCATGATTCCAGCATCTGCCAGTGCAAGACTTGCGCATGATATAATGATGGGAAGATCACCTGAAACGAAACAACTGCAAGTAAGGTCCAGCATTTTAACAAGGAAACTTATGCAGAAAGAATTGGTCACAGAAGAAAGGTTTCCACTGAAACAATACAAATATAGAATTGAAGATGGGTGTAAAACTGTCCTTTTCTTTAAAACAACAAGTGTACCATCATTTCTACCGACATATTAGCTATATCTGACTGACTCGAGAATTAACAACTCAAAACACGTTAACCTCATACAGTTTTGTAAAATAAGCAAATACAATGGATAACACGTTCAAACTATGTATTTGTCATTTACGGCTTAGCTCTAAATTTAACTCATTAGACCAAGGCTAAGGCTCTAGCATGTCACGAAGATAAGCAGCATTTCAATATTTTCCTACTACTTAAACATTAACATAACTTCCACATATGTAAAAAGAAAATCTAGTATTATATTTTACACAAAAACATCAAGGCTAGAATAGTATCATACTGCCACCAGACTCAAGAACCAAGGCAAAAACATCAACAGTGGTCTTTGGAAAAGTGTGTAGCATTACTGCGCCTTCAAAAGCTTTATGAAGCATCGATGAGTACTCTTTGTTGTCTGCTCCTGGAAATAAGATGAATGAATGCAATCAACTCCAAATACCTTCCAACAGTTAGTCCACAAAACAGAGACACGAGAGGTAAACATGGTGTACCTGTCCACGCACTGGAGTGGCAAATGTTGTATAGCTCACATTGCAATTGAGCCTACCAACATCACTGTACATCATTGCTTTCTTACTTTCCCTTGGTCCAAACCTGCAAAGTTAATCATTAAACAAAGAGGAATGATCAACCAATAAGACAGATTCAATATAAGCAAAGAATCTCACAAGTCACCAAGTTCACAGACAAGATAGACGAAATTCAAATATCGCAATGCTAAGAAATGCATACTAGAGCCCAAGTAATTTCCTCCAGTGAGCAATATTGACCTTACAACTAAACTCATAAGTGGTAAGAGCACAAGCAGCACAAAACTAAAACCATGATTGTCACATCGCCAACAAGAAATATATGAAACTGAAATAATCACACTGAATGACTGAAAGCAGGTGCTTATAAAGTTACAGGGCTGCTTTGATTGACCCTAACTTGCTCATATTTGATTGCAAAAAAGACACCAATATAAACATTTAACAGGCAAGGAGAGTGACGTGCGGAATATTTAAGTGAAACACTATCTTTTCACATTTGATATTCCAAAAACATAAAACATACTATGAAAAAGCAGGTGGTACCAAAGGATGTTGCACTTACACCGATACAATGACCTTTGTCTTCCCAAATTCCGCATAAGCAGAACCTGATGCAGCAGTAGTTGGTCCTGTCTGCATAACTGCAAGATAAATTGTAACTTACCAATTAATTCGATGATCCAGAAATGAATACTGCTAGTTTCAACTCCACAGGACAACAGGTAGTATCGTTCAAATGAAGGTTAAGATTCAAATTGTAGTAAACCACATTGGCATAAAAGCACGGGACAGATCGTTTAAAGAGGCACGGAACCCAAGCAGTAGAAGACACAATAACTAAACGGAGTTCATCCCAACGAATGCCATGTCCGCGGTAGCTCAGACACGCCCTCACCCATCACGCATAACGTCGAACACCATAAGTACGGGGCTGGTAAGAGCAGACGAAAGGCACGAAACCAAAATTCTCAAGCAAGAGCAGGTAGAGAGAGGACGTGGAGGAGGGGGGGGGCCGTAGTTACACGCTGGTCGGCAGTCGTGGAAGGAGCGGCCGTCGGCCCGGGGCCAGTCGGCGTCCTCGACGAGGTGGCGCCGCAGCTCCTCCTTCCTCTCCCGCCGCTTGCCCCCTGCGGCCGCCGCCGGGGAGTAGGTCCCTGTCCCCGCCAGCGCCGACATCGCTGGAAACCACGAGCACGTCGCCACCGGTCGCCTGGTCGAACTACAGCGGGGGAACGGAGCCTGCGCCGGACTAGCTGGAGAGTGGAGACGCGTGCTTAGTGCTTGCTTCGATAGACTTCCCCTATGGCTTTGCTAGGGTTTTTGATTCGATAAGTGGGCTGTGGCCTATGGGCTAGTCAGGTATCCCTTCCCTCGCTAGATGAAACTAGGATCAGAAGCCCAAGAGGTGGCAACCTATGGGCCAGTTGTGTTAAAGAACTCTGGGCCGAAGCGAAGCATGAAGAAAAAAAAGTCCATATTACCTCCTCAAGTTTCACGAAAGTCCGTTTTTCCTCTTTAAACTTCAAAATCAGGCAAAACATCTCCCTCAACTTTTAAAAACGTTCATCTTACCTCCTGGCCCTATTATAAATGGTTTTGAAGGCGATTTTGTCTTTTGTCTTTTTTATTTATTTCGGCTGAATCTTTGAAAAATCATAGTAAATCATAGAAAAATCATAAAATGGAAAATCTAATTTTGTTAGACTCCACATGAGTAGATCTACACAGTGAATATATAATATTGTATGCTTTAGTATAAAGTTTTTGTTGTTGCTTTAGATCTATGCTTTTATGTAATTAATTGGAATAATTCATAGCTACAGTTTCTATGGTCCAATTGTGATGAAATTTTTATGGTGGGCTAATTATTGTATGATTGAACTATAGTAAAAATTTCATACTCATTCGATCATGTATAGCTTAGTTATAGATTTATTTATATTTGGCAAGCATAAACCTAAATAAAATCTATAACTAAGTTATACATGATCCAATGAGTATGAAATTTTTACTACAGTTTAAGTATAAAATAATTAGCCCACCGTAAAAATTTCACCATAATTGGACCATAGAACTGTAGCTATGAATTATTCCATTTAATTATAGAAAAACGTAGATCTAAAGGCACAACAAAAACTTTGTACTAAAGTATACCATATTATATGTTCACTGTGTAGATCTACTCATGTGGAGTCCAACAAAATTGTATTTTCTATTTTATGATTTTTCTATGATTTACTATGATATTTTAAAGATTCAGCCAAAATAAATAAAAAAGAAAAAGACAAAACTATCTTTAAAACTGCTTATAACAGTGCCAGGGAGGTAAGATGAACGGTTTTAAAAGTTGAGGGAGACGTTTTGCCCGTTTTTAAAGTTTGGGGGAGGAAAACCGGATTTTTGCGAAAATTGAGAGAGGTAATGTGGACTTTTTCCGAGCGTGAATGTGTGTGATTGGCCCACGTACAAGTCCAGTGTTCATTGCAGACCCACGTACAAGTCCAGAGTTCATTGGCCCACGTACAAGTACAGAGTTTATTGCAGGCCCACGTACAAGTACAGAGTGTATTGCAGGCCCACGTACAAGTCCAGAGCTCATTGCACAAAAAAAATTTAAGTCCAGAATTCATTGCCCCCAGTGCCGCCGCTCTCCCTCCCGACGCCGATCATGGAATTGCAAGGCCAAGTGGTGATGGACCAAATTTTAAATTTTTAAAGTAAAATATTGGATACTATTGGAGATGGATTTTTTTTCTCCTAATATATTTTTAGGAGTTGAAAAACATAGTATTTTAGGAAGAAAATTTAGGAAACTCTTGAAGATGCTCTAACCAACCGAGCTAATAGGCCTTTGCAAACATATTCAAAATAAAAAGGGAAATTACTTAGACAAACGAACCGCCGCTGATCTTGAAGCCAAGGAATCCTATACCGCACGCACGGTAATACAAAATTGGTCGCTTTTTAATTTGTGCCGTGGAGAGTGAAGATCACTGCATATCTGGCGAGCCTCCCGCGATCAGATTCTTAGAAGAAATTAAAGCGGCCAGTTCTTCGCTCCTCCTCTCTTTCTGATGGCGAGAATATATTCATGGATGCGACGGATACCAGCGACTGGCCATCAGAGCGTCGTTTATCATGCGCCTTTCACCTCACAATTACAGGTCCATGACACCGCATCCAGACTCCAGAGAGAGTGTGGTCGTGTACACCTCACCTACAGCCCAGGCTAGCTTCCTGACAGCTTCCAAGCCCGTGCGGGGGGCTGCTACTGCTACTGCTAGCAACGGGTCTCCTGCCCCCGTTACATTACGTACCCCGGCTTGGACCGTTCCGGTCCGGGCACGTCGGTGTCATGCCGGCAAGTTTCCAACGCCAGCCAAGTAGCCAGCTCTGCAGCAGCAGCCCCCCTGCGAAACTTCGTGGAAGGTCGCCGCCACAGCAGCCTCTGGATCAGCGCCAACTAATAACAGGAACACATCAAAGCTGGGACCCTGATGGAACGGACCCGACCAGACTTGGCGAAATCGGTGGGGACAGACCCCCAGACAATGCTTTGAAGGTCGAAATCATTGCGCTTGAATTTTTGACCGAAATTTGCAGAAATTCCAGGCGCGCGTGGTGGACTACGAACAGTGAGTCCTGATCCAACAAGTTCTCCACCACGAGGATTGACCTTTACGCCAATGAAGCGGATTGTCTGTCTGATCAGGTGATCATGCTAGAAATTAAAAAGGATTTATATTTTGTTGTCTCGTCAGAGAAGGCATTCGAGTTAGAAAAAAAATTAAAAAGATAAAGAGAAGGCATTCAGGATGTCATCAGTATAGAGTATAGACAGTAGATGATCATCAAAGTGAGATGCTTGCAACCGGCAAATTAGTTCCATCAATTGATTGTTCTTAACTTGGGAATTAGTGCGTTAATTGCTGCACAGTCCACCCCCAAAACTCATGGCAGGAGGAAAAACACACACCCGACGAACACCCCTCTCAATGGTACACACTCTCATCTCCTGCCACGAGCAGCTGAGGCGACGAAACGAAGAAAAAGAAGTGAAAAAAATGAAGGAACAGTCAGCTCCTCCGGCCCTGCAGCCTCATCATCAGCACAGGCCGTTCTCGAGGAACCTGACGAACTGGAACAGGTTCATCCGCGCGTCCCGGCCGCCGCCGGCCGCGACGACCATGGCGCGGCACGCGGCGGCGTCCTGCCGGATGCCGAGCCTCGCCAGGGCGCCCTGCAGGTCCTCGGCGCCGATGAACCCGTCGCGGTCGGCGTCGAAGACCGCGAAGACGGCCCGCACCTCCGTGAAGCTGGGCTCCTCGGCGTCGAAGAGCCCGCGGACGTCGTCGAGGCCCTCGCCGCGCCCGGCCGCCGCGAGGCCGATCGTGGCCATGATCGCCTCCACCTCCGCCTTGCTCAGCGCGGCGTCCTCGTCCTCGCCGTCGCTGTCGTCCGGGCGCGGCGCGGCAGCGGCGGCGACGGCGGCAGCGGACGACGGCGCGTGCGCGGCGTGCTTGGCGTTTGGCGGGAACAGCGCCCTAGCGAGCGAGTGCAGCAGCGACGAGTGGCTGCGGGCCAGCGCCGAGGCCGCGGCGCCCAGGAAGCTGAGCAGGTACGGGATGACCAGGAGCGGCTCCCGAAACGAGAGCATCCGGCGCAGGAGTGGCCGCGGCGCCGCCATCGCGTTTGTCCTCTCAGCCATCGGTCGATCGATCGAGATCGGTTACTGATTAGTCCGTGTCGTGCGAAGGAAGGCGCTAGCTTTGCTTGCTCCGACGAATTGCCGCCGCTGCGATGCGCTGGGTTGTGGTTGGAGAGATGGTGGGGTGGAAGCGAGCCTTATATATACGACCCGACGGTGAGGGCAAGGAATATTGTGCGGCGTGACAGCTTTAGGGCCGGGCGGGAGGAGGAGGAGGAAGGTCACTTGCATGGCGTGATGGCGTCGGCTCGGCTCGTCCTGTCCTGGCAGCGCGCAGGAAGGTGCCCGTCTGCTTCCGCCAGGTACTTGGCCCTGCGACTGCGAGAGGGATAGCGGACGGTACCACTTGGCCCGGAAAATCCCCGAGAAATTCTTAAAGAAAAGGCGTGGTGGATCGGAATAGGTGCGGCCTCGAGAAAACGGGTGGAAATGGGGAGACGGGGGGTGGTTGCGTTTGGGTGCGGCTTCATTTCGTCGTGTGATCCGTCGCGGTTGACACTGGACGATACACACACAGCACTGCACTACTCTCTCGGCAGACGGCAGGGGCGAAGCTTCTGCGTGGCTGGCTACCATCTCGGGTAGTGCGTGCGTTGCGTGCCCTGCCAAACTAATCGATCCGGGGGAGGGTTGACTTGTGCGAGAGAAAAGTAACGTTCGCTGGCGGAAAAAAAAGTAACAAACCTAAATGAAGAGGGTGGTTATTTTTCTGGATGCTGCTGTTCCAAGGAGCCTGTTAGTGTGATTCCGAGACGTGCTTGGCATGAGGGATGGGATGGGATGGTGTGAGACATTCGGATCGGATAAGGCGTGCGTGGACGAGCTTCCTGTGTTGTGTGAAAATGCACGTAAGTTTCGTGCGTGGTCTTGGTAATTGGTGTGGAAATGCGAAACTGTGTGCCGTACGGGACAAGCTTCCTGTGTTGTGTGAAAATGCACGTAAGTTTCGTGCGTGGTCTTGGTAATTGGTGTGGAAATGCGAAACTATGCGCCCTACGGACCGGACCAGCCAACCATGCAGTGTGAAAAAAGGAGACACTCGTGCTGGGTTGTGTTAGTTTGCGAAATGGGGTGGAAAGATTCTACAGTTGACGGTTGAAACCTTGACTTCAACCAAAACAAGTTAATAGTAGTAGGTTACCATAATATCATATACGAGTATAACCAAGCAACTTGCTTTTTGATTTGGTGTGAGAGAAAAGTAATGTTCGTTGGCTGAAAAAAGTATGGTTTATAAGCCAAAAAAGCCTAAGCGAAGAGGGTGGTTATTTTTCTGGATGCTGCTGTTCCGAGGGGCCTGTCAGCGTGATTCCGAGACGTGCTTGGCATGAGGGATCGGATGGGATGGTGTGAGACGTTCGGATCGGATAAGTCGTGCGTGGACGAGCTTCCTGTGCTGTGTGAAAATGCACGTAAGTTTCGTGTGTGGTCTTGGTAATTGGTGTGGAAATGCGAAACTGTGCGCCGTACGGACCGGACCAGCCAACCGTGCAGTGTGAAAAAAAGGAGACACTCGTGCTGGGTTGTGTTAGTTTGGAAAATGGGGTGGAAAGATTCTACAGTTGACGGTCGAAACCTTGACTTCAAACCAAAACAAGTTAATAGCAGTAGGTTATCATAATATCATATACGAGTATAACCAAGTAACTTGCTTCAGCTTTTGCGCTATATTTAACGGCTCATACTCATATACGTCTGAGATTTATTAATTAACTTCATGTTTCTACTACCGGTATAAGAACAAAAATGTAGCAATTGTAAAGTATATGAATATATACATACCTTTTTTATTTTAGACTAACATGATGAAGTTATTTGAGTTGTTCGCCAAAAAAAAGAGATGAAGTTATTTGAGTTGGTAAGCAAGTTCCCTAGCAGTACAAACTTCGATAAATTAATAAAAGGCACGAGCAAAGAAGCCCTTTACTTTATGTTTACTATGAAGCCATCTGAGTACTTAAGCAAGTTCCTTTGCAGTACAAACTTCAAACAAATTCAACAGAAAGTATAAGAGAATTTAGTTTAGGTTAACTCGGTTAGGTAATTAGTTGCTTTGATCCTTATAGTGGAGTCTGGATTGTATTTTTTGGTTTAAACTATTAATATTGGTCTATATGTCGATTTGTAGCAAAGGAGCCGACCTATTCTCTCGAAGGTATTCATAGGGGTGAGTATGCATGTGTATGGTATGAGTTTGTTATTGTACTTCATCCTATCAGAAATATAAGTTCCTCGACATTTGTCCTAGGCCAAACGTTTATGAATCTATAAATTTGTATACATAGATTGACATTATGAGATTCATTACAAAACAAACTAGCATAATATATAACTTTGTTCTGTCATTAAGGTGATATACATTTAAAGATAATTAGGTATTGCTAGTTAGAGTGTTATATATTAGAGATCGTCTTGCCACGTAGGCGAACTTTGATGTGACCTAAGAGCCTCTACTTTGTGCCTTTTGTGCCTATTGTGGAGGTAATGTTCCCCAATGAGATTAAGCTAGGACACTTGGTACATGCAGTAAAGGATCACAAACAAATGTTAGGAGAGACTTCATTCTTTCATTTTCCACATCTAGCTCCTTTCAAGCTTCCATGCTTGTAATTTTGTTGGTGATGGTGGATTTGTGGGGGAGAAGGGGTTTGGGACACATATGAAACATTTTAGACATCGGCATGGTCTCTACAAAAACAAATTTTAGTGGTACCTCTTGTTACAAAATTGCTATAAAAGCATAACAAAGGTATACTTTTGTAAACTACATTTTAAAACAGGTTTCCCTTTTTATATTTCACAAATCTAAACTCAAATATAAAGAATATAATACACAATTAAAAATTACAATGGTTGGCTTAAGAAAAACCCAAAACATTACTTGCTTGAACTGCACGGACATGACTTCATCTCTCCAGATCTGCCAGATTAATCTTTCAGAGATGCTCGTAGAGGTAGAATATGCGTGTGCCTATGTTTATAGAAATGATTGTACATATATATACTGTGATTTAGAAAAAAAAAATACATCACTTCTTTCTGACCAAAAATTAAGTGATTTGAGTTGCTAAGCAAGTTCCTTAGCATCAGGAACCCACCTACTCTTTTTTTTGCGGCTACTGAGGAGCATATACTCCTTGGTATTCTAAATCATGTCCAAAATGACTTGTCCAAAAATTAATCACTTCTTTCTGACCAAAAATTCATTTTCCTTAGTGTGTGTGTGTGTGTGTATATATATATATATATATATATATATATATATATATATATATATATATATATATATATATATATATATATATACTGTGATTTAGAAAAAAATACACCACTTCTTTCGGACCAAAAATTAAGTGTAAGCGATTTGAGTTGCTAAGCAAGTTCCTTAGCATCAGCACCCACCTACTCTTTTTTTTTTCCGGCTACTCAGGAGTACTTCTCCGTATTCTAACAAAATGACTTGATTTTTTTAGTACGGAGGAAGTAGTTATTATAGCAATATAAAATCATAAACGTCGATAGTTAAGGAATGCAAGTTCCTTAGCAGCACACACTTGCATAAATAATCCTCCTAACATAAAAGCACAAGTGTACAAATGACGACCATTAGCTTTCAGTCCAACAGGTACGGCCGGCAAAGGGAATCCCGTCGAAATTGCTCCGAGCCTCCGATCTGAAAAAAAGAAAACCCCGCGCTGGCGGCTAGCCAGACGGCCGACGACGTGCGAGCCACCCTGTCCAGCAAGCATTCGCATCGCACGCACGCACGTCGATAATAAGCAGTCGCATAAGCACACACACTTGACTGATTAATTAGTAGCCAAGACAAATTAGCCATAAACTAGTGCGGCGGATCCATCCTCCTGCCCCATTTTCTTATGGCCTGCACGTACGCTGATCCGGATCTGGTGTCGGGCGGAGCCAGGGTTTGCGCTAAGCAAGATCCGGCCAGTGGCCTCGCTGGCCCGTACGTGTGTCGACTCACTGTCACCGGGGGCCAGGGGTCAGTACAAAAGCATCCCGGCGAACTAGGAGCCTGCTGTGTGTGCACCCGGTGGGATCAGGCCAACTTGGTTAGCGTGCATGAGCGATAGATCGTCGAGCTCGACGAGCGAGCTAGCCAGCCGGGTCCGTACGTGTGTGTCCGCGCGTACGCCGTGGACACGATCTGACGCTGCCACGTGCGTGCGTGCCTTGTTTGCTTCTTGAAAGAACGGGTTTAGCTGGCATCACGCCGGCCGCTGCGGTAACCCCAGATCTGGTCAAGCTTATGTGCTAAGACAGCTATAAACGAGAGTAGTTTTATGTGCAGTAACAGAGCGGGGTGTCTGCGAAACCTTGCAATTTGCAACGACAGTGACAGATAATGCTGCGGATCGACAGCTAATACGTGCAAGCATGGATTGGCGGCATGTAATTTGGAAGCAACGTTGCAGCGCAGGACGGCAGGAAATGGGCCTGAAAGTTTGCTTTTGAACGAGTATGGACGATGCTGCTTGCTCGACCCCGTCGCCGGCCAGACAGACGCGAGAGGGGGGCCGGGCTCGTTCTCGTTCGTTCGTGCGTGCTCGTATCCTGATGAGTTATGACCTGATCAATCAGTACTACCGGTACGGTTGAGCAAATCTTCAGCGGCCGGCTACGAAAATACTTTGAAATAACGCGCGCACCGGGCCATTTCAAATCAAATAAATCAATGCTTGGGGAGCGTACGTTTCTGCTTATTGTACGCCAACCTAGAGTGAGCACTCCTCACTCTGTAAAATAAAAACGCCAGGCGTGGGTCCGTGGACTAGTTAGGACGTGACCGATCGACGACCCATGGCTGTTAACCACGGACAAGGACGCGATCCATTGATCGATGATCCACGGACCACGGCTGCATGCCCAGCAAGCCAGTTCGTTCGGACTATTTGGTCCCTTGTCTTGACCTCATCAGCCGCCCAACGGTTTTACAGGCGGAGCGACCCCGTGTCCGTGTACGTACGTCTTGACGACTG